TTTCTGGTTGGCGGATGAAAAATCTAAAGATGATGATCCTTGCTTTTTCTATACATTCCACTAAAAGCTGAGAATGGTGAACTTGCATAATGGACAACAAACACACACTGCTCATTTGTACTGCCTGCATACTACTGTTAGAATTCTGAGAATCCCAAGTGATAAGAAAAATGTTAGTATATCCTGGGTGGTGGTGGGGAATTGACCTCAATTCCAATGGCATTTTACTCTTCTGATCCAAGCAGTGCCAAAGAGAAATGTTGTAGTTATGTACCACTGATCGGACCTAGTTTTAAAGTCTCTCTAATACGTGGCTCCCAATATTCAGTTTTGCTCCCATCGTTTCGTGTTATGGGTTTGTGTTATGGGATCCAGAAACAGAGCACAAAAGTAAGACTCTTCAGATAAGGTCTTCCTTGGTATTCAGAGGCAAAGTAAATAGACTCCCATCTGGAACCAGTTGGGGCAAGGGATGATCTAGTGTTAACTCCAGGTAGTAGGATCATCAGGGACAGAGGGAAGGATTAGCCACTTTAACTTTACTTAGGTTCTTTCTATAGATGCCAAGCATGGATTCTCCAGTGCCATTTGAAGACTGTTTGAAGACTACACAGTGTTGTTTTTTAAAGAGTGCTTTCATACAGTTAGTATTTTGATTTGAGGAAGTAGAACTGGATTTTCAAAAATGTTCTAACCAGCCTTATTATTCAGTTTCACTTGTATCTAGAAAGCCTTTAGAATGAAATAATCAGTTTCACTCTGCCCAAAATAAGCTGTTTACTCCATGACGACCCCCACCTCTCTCTGTCTCTCTTGTGTGTGGGGTGGGTGAGTAAATAAAGATAGTTTTCATCAACAGAAACCGAAGTGGGAACCTGCTGAAAAGTTTCATGAGGAAAATCCAGGCTGTCTCCTACCCATAACAAATTGTTATGTTCTTAACAAATAGTAAATACCAGAAAAACGGAAGGAGGGAGGGTGGGTGTAAATGGTCAGGGAATTGCAGAGTGTTAAGCAATCAATACACTAGTCTCGCCATGTTAGCAGCCAGTACTCTCTGCTTTTGGAAGCCCTAGCACACAAAGCAGGAACAAAAATTAATTAGACACAAGACTGCGAATAACACTAATTGCAACAACGTGTCACTTTTTATTGGCTGCAAGCACTTAAGTCAAAAGAAGATGGGGACTTGGAGGGACTCCAGCTTGCCCCACATGAAAACACTCTGTGATAATAATCAGTTAATGGATGGAGACTGTGCAAAGTTCCTTTCTGGTATTAGCACAGTGGTTTTTCAAGTGAAGAGGAGGGGGATCTTTGAGTGAGCACCCATTTTTCAAAGCTGATTGGCATCTGAACAGCATTAGCAGTCTGGCCTAAACTTACTATTTTTTTTATATTTTATTTTTTGTTTGTGCCAGCTCAATTTATTTAGTTAATTTATGCCCCAGCTTTCCCCCATGATTGAACTCACGACAGCATGTATAGGGTTTCCTGGTGGCCTCCCATCTAGGAGTTTGAGCAAGGTGGTTGCATCCTGTGTCCTTAGACCATGCCCTGGAACTATGACATTTATGATTTTTTAAACAAGTTCAAATAATTAGCAGAATGTATAAACGGTGTGCCTATCTTAGTACAGGTAGCAGTTTACCCAGCAGCCACATCAGTATTATCAGAAGATAAATAATATCCAGTTCTGATTTAAAACATCATCTGGTATAGTTCTCCTAAGACTTTACCACCTTGTGGGTTGGCAGGGAGGGTGCATATCTGAATATTTCCCTGCACTAAAAACACAAGAAACAAACCCCAAAGCATCTCCCCTCCCCCCCCACACATAGAAAATTAGCTGGCTGGTGAGAAGTTTCTGCCTTATAACTGATGTGCTGGTTTTGTAAGCTATAATTCTTCCCCCATACTGACACAGGATTGGACAGAAATCTAGTTGCTCACTCTCTTTTCCAAGAAGTACATACATATGGCTTCACGGGAATTATTCTGAAAGCAAGTATTATGGACCCAGGTATTTGGAAATAGCCCCTTATGTTTGGTATGCTCATATTTATTCAATCTGTCCATCATCTCTGGTGCAACTTGATGTGCACATCCTCCTCACTCCCCTCCTCCAACACTGCTGGCAATGTAATACTGGTGTAGAATAAGAGTTTTCCTCTTTCCTCATTTTATCCTCACAATAGCAACCCTGAGATGTAGGTTGGGCTGGGAGAGCATGATGACTGATCCAAGGTCACCCAGTGAACTTCATGCCTGGGCAGGAATTTTGACCTGTGCCTCCCCCAACACCCAGAGCTTTCCAAGCTTTTCATGTTGGTGACACACTTTTTAGACATGCATCATTTCACAACACAGTAGTTCAGTTTTACTAGCAAACCAGAGTTTGAACTAACCCCTTTCTAGCCTCAGGAGGAGCATGGGGAGTGTTTGTGCAGCATATCTACACAATGCAGCCGATACACTAATGTGTCACAACACACAGTTTAGAAAGCTTTGCTCTAACCACTATTCCATACTGGCTCTTTTCTGGGGAACTCTTCATCCAGGCAACTTAGAGTGGCATACCTTGTCAGTTTGTTTGGTTATTATACATAACAGGATCCACAGAAGCCTTACCTTTATGTCATTTGAAACCTATTTCCTAGTATAGTGATTATGGCGTTTGCATGCTATCTCTTTATATGAATGTCAGTAAACCCATAGGTCATCAATGGGGAAGATACAGCCCTTCAAATGTTGTACGGCTAAACTCCCATCATCACGGACCATTGGACTTGACGGGAGTTGTAGTCCCAAACATCTGGAAGGCCACATGTTTTCCATCCTTGCACAGGAGATGTACTAGGAAGCTTCTAGGAGAACTACTAGGATATTATTCTGAAAATATTGTAAGGCCCCTGGACTTAAACTTACTTCCTCATCTCAGCAGCTCCCAAGGTATTTCATAAATAGTTTGAAAACCTCTCCTGCCTCTGGAATAGCACAAAATCTATCAACACTATGAATTTCAAACATGCAAAAAAAAAAAAAAAATCTGCTCCAAGAGGCAGAAGAGGTTTTAATACTATTTATAAAATACCTTGGGAACTGCCGAGATGAGAAAGTAATTTTAAGTAAAAATGGAACAGCAATATAATCAGATCAGTAATATCCTTGTAGTTTCTCTTATGGATTGTTTACATCCAGATAGTTTTCTGTATCTTGCTTAGAAGGGCTGGGCTTGGGGGTATTGTGTGTGTGTGTGTGTGTGTGTGTGTGTGGATCATCATGAGTCTCATGCAAAAATCTATCTATATACACCAGGGAGGGATAAGGACCTTTTGGCCCTTTAGGTATTGGTGGCCTGCAGCACATTTAACTCCTGCCCATTGACCATGCTGGGTAGGATTGATGCAAATTGTAGTCCAGCATAATCCAGACAGTTGCAGGTTCCCCATCCCTGATAAACATGCACTCCCTCAGTCTCAGGCAGGTGAGGTACTAATTTGCTTCACTCACACTCAAATAGCAACTTCCTTTTTTTACTTCTGGAGATGCTTGTAGTTAGTGACAGAGCACATGCTTTGCCTGCAGAAAAGCACAGGTTTAAACCCCAGCATCTTCAGGTCGGGCTGCGAAACAGCCCTGTTTGAGACCATGGAGAATGGGCTGCCAATTCAGTGCCTAGACAATACTGAGCTAAGTGGATTGACAATATAAGGCCGCTTTCTAGCTGCTTTAATGGTGTGTTTTCGGCAAAAAGTTGCTGTAAAGCAAGCCTTTTCCATTCCTGACAGATAGTATCATGATGTATTTAAGTGTTTATCTTATATTTAAAAACATGTTCTTACGCTGTGATTTAAAAATAAAATAAAATTTAATGTCTGTTGATAAGGGTTGACATAAATATGGTTATGTCTGCATGGGTATATCCAGATCACTTCTTAGGGTGGTATCAGTTTTTATGTACTAATTGTGTGGCTATCAGATCAATAGGATGGCTTTTGTAAATTGCTGCATGTTTTACTGGAGTGGTCACCAGAACGTCTGGAATTTATCTTTAGTTTTTGTTAGGGTTTCCTGCCTTTCAGTTACAGAGATAATTTCCCCATTAAAGCAATAGACCTTATTTTCTGATACCATTCATTCATTAGAATGTCCCCTAAGTTTTTCCTTTGTTTGATTATTGTTAGTCTAGCTGCTATGAATAAAATTTGTTTTAACTTGTTGATTTTTTATCTGCTTTTGTGTGAATTATCCTTAAAGACAGGACTTAACCAGTAAGCTTTTTAGTTGTAAAATGTAGTAGCAGAGATTTTACAATTTGTTCTGTTTCATTGTAGCCACTTCTTAAAGATGGGGAGGTTTAAGATTGGCAAAATAAAGCTTTACAACATCATTTATGTGTGTTTGAAGTCAAAGCTTGAAAGTCTATATCCCACTTGATTGTAAAAAACAAAGAGGTTTACAAGAAGATAAAACCATAAGATCACAAAAATACAATACAGTCATACCTTGGTTGCCGAACGCCTCGGAACTCGTACGTTTCGGTGAGTGTTCGGTTTTTGAACAATTTTCGGAAGCTGGACATTCGGCGCAGCTTCCACGGCTTCTGATTGGCTACAGATGCCCCTGCAGCCAATCGGAAGCTGCACCTTGGTTTCTGAACCATTCTGGGAGTCGAACGGACTCCTAGAATGCATTCTGTTCGTGAACCAAGGTACGACTGTACATTAACACTTACAAGAAGTTAAAATACTAAAACAGATTAAAATTCACACCATATTTGTGCAAGTCTCTGTGTTATGTGCATTGCATGCAAGTAACTGTGAATTTAATTGTACCGGTGGTATAATATTTCTTCTAAGTATTTGTTAGTGGTTAAAAAATATTGGGTAGGGAGGGTGGAGAGCCAGAGAGAGGTTTGATGTGAATAGATATATAGATATATAATCATACACAGATGGATTTAGGAAACTTACAGCATTTTAAAATCATTTTTGCAGGTACAGAAGGCCTAGGATTTAGCATCACTTCTAGAGATGTTCCAATTGGCGGCTCAGCTCCAATTTATGTGAAAAACATCCTACCAAGAGGTGCAGCTATTCAAGATGGAAGATTAAAGGCTGGTGACCGACTCATTGAGGTGATGAAATGTTGCAAAGCTGTTAGGGAGTTCTATTAGTCCTTTCAGCAGATTGCCTGCTTTTGTATATCATTTCAGTGAATTTTCTACTGCTCCGCTGCCAGTTTCCCAGGGCATTGTCTTCTGGTCTTTGTGCTTTCTGAATAACAATATTAATAAACACTCATATTCCAGGTAGCAGCTTCACTCGCTTTGCAAAAAGCAGTCTCATCTTGAAAGTTTGTTATTTTGTTGGATGGCTCAGTTTTGACTTGGGAGAGAATAATTGGATATGGCATCTATTGCTTTGTTCATGTGCTTAAGTTTTTTATTGTGGCTCTATTCTGGTAAACAAAATGAACAGTGTGGTATCACAAGTTATAAGGGATAAGGCTGCACTTCCAATATAAATCTATACAGTTCTGTAACTTATTCTTTCTCACGTAATGTCTCCCCGCCACCTGCAACGGTATCCTCCCTAAAGGCTGATTCATAGAATAGAATCATAGAATCATAGAGTTGGAATAGACCACAAGGGCCATCGAGTCCAACCCCCTGCCAAGCAGGAAACACCATCAGAGCACTCCTGACATATGGTTGTCAAGCCTCTGCTTAAAGACCTCCAAAGAAGGAAACTCCACCACACTCCTTGGCAGCAAATTCCACTGTCGAACAGCTCTTACTGTCAGGAAGTTCTTCCTAATGTTTAGGTGGAATCTTCTTTCTTGTAGTTTGGATCCATTGCTCTGTGTCCGCTTCTCTGGAGCAGCAGAAAACAACCTTTCTCCCTCCTCTATATGACATCCTTTTATATATTTGAACATGGCTATCATATCACCCCTTAACCTCCTCTTCTCCAGGCTAAACATGCCCAGCTCCCTTAGCTGGCATCGTTTCCAGGCCTTTGACCTCAAATTTCTGTGGCACCCTGTGTGATGCCAAAATCTGGCTCCCTCCAGCCTCTCGCCTTCTGTGCGATGTCATAGTTACGACACCTCATAAGCTTTGCGCCCCTAGATCTGCCTTTGTTGGGATGCTTGGTGTCAGTCCTTTGAGAACATACATGTATACTAGCATGAGACTGAGAGAGTACAGGAAGCTGGTACATAGACATCAGAATTTAGGAAGCAGAGGGTTTATGGGAAATCTGCCTAGATAAAAAGTTTGTAACTTAAGTAAATTGTTAAATTTATTACAACTTCTTGACTGAAGGAGTGTAGCTAATAATAATTAGTATGTACCAAAGTACCACACCAAATGGTAAAAATATAGAAATCTAATAAAATTGGAGGGGGGGGGAATGTAAGATTGCAATACATTTTTCCTAATGCTATTTTTATTATCTGATATTGCCATAGGAAAGACCTAGAATTGTTTGGATTTCTTGAATAGTGTATATTTAACCTATTTGGAGCTCTTTCAAGGTTATTTTTTAGTTTAATGAGTTTTGTAATTGTTTGGCTTCAGATATCTGCAGCATTCATTGTAATGTTTCTACCTTTCCCCCAGTGAATTGTTCTCTGCTTTAACCTCATCCAAGTTTTTGTCTTGTGGGGATAAATATACAGTCAAAACAAAGGAGGAGGATATGGGCAATTCTATTGGAATGTGTAGATTAGAAATCACAGTCTCAAATGGAGCAAAAGAAAGGGGAGAAGAGTGAGGAAGCAATGAGAGGAAAGGGAAGTAAGAATGGATGCTCTTTAGTTGGTTCAGAATACCTTCTTTCTCACTGATCTGTGAAAGAACTGTTCTTCAGATCCTGGAGGTGAGATCCTAGTTGTTGTTGTTTTCTTCACAAATTTCCTGAGGCTGATCAATGCTTTCAATGAAATTTGCACTGCAAATTCACAAGTGGTGTAAATTTCACTAATTTCTTCAACTCCATTTGTTATCTCTCTGGCAGGCAGATATGAGAAACCTTGGCTAATATAACAGTTGCATTTTTCCAAAGCATTTTTTACCAGATGGAGGGGGGCAACATTCCTGATAAGGATAACTCCCCTGCTGGACACGGGCAGGGTCTTCAGATTCTTGTTCCCTCTCTGGGGCAGGGGGAGTCATCCCATCTCTTTAGATGCTAGGGGCAGTTGGGTCTTCACACCTCTCCCTGTGAGAAGCACTTGTCTGAGTACTTGTTTCAGTGGATTTTGTGTACAATCTCAGTTGTCCTCTCTTTAGTTTTTGTTTTCCATTACCCCCCTTTGTTTTTCATCATATTTTCTCTCCTTCCCTGCCATTCTGGGAAAGGGGAGAATATAGTAGCTGGTTGGGTTCTGGGCCTGAATGCCAGACAACCACCTAAGGATGTCACAGAAGCAACAGGGACAGGAGATTGCATTTCCCCCCTCGTTTTGGAGAGCAGGAGTGCCATTTTATATTTCTCCTCAGCAGTTCTTCTGGAGGCCCCAACAGCTTGAGACCTGACTCCTGCATCTGGGAGTTTAGTGGCTTTCATGTTCTCTGTGCTCACTTCCTGATTCATTGGGCTGAGTTGGGTCTCTATCTTATACCTTGATGATTAATTGGGAGTTTTGAAGAAAGACAACAGTGGGTGAAGTCGTGTTAGGCCTTCCTGCATTTTGCATTGCACCTGTGCACCCAGAATGATTAACTTTCCCCTCACGGCGATGGCGAAGAGGAGGGAGTCTATGCACACTCCCTTGGAGGATCCAGGCAAGGGGTCCCTAGTGATTCTCTTGGTCAGATGGGGTTGACTAAGGAGAGCTCCCCCAATGATTCTGAAACTTTTCTTCAGGCTCAGGGTCCAAACTCTTTGAGGAATCTCTGGAAGTCCACTTAGTAGAGACCAGGGATAAGAAGAAGGTTCTGCCTTCTATCAAAAAACCTGAGAAACCACGTCAGACTCATTTTTTTCAGGCACCTCTGCAGTTCTCTAAATCTTGACCTTTCTCTTCCCTTCAGTACAGATTGACAAGATAGGAACACCATTTTGGGAGTATTATCATAGAGAGTTTGTGCTACAAATATATATCTCTTAAATATACAAGCAGCAACAAAACATGAGACATGAAGAAACATAAGGACTCGCTGTCCCTTCGTAGGTTTTTTTTTATAAAAAAATCCTGATTTGTGCTGGTACTCATGCTGTGTAGAAAAATTATTCTTAACTGCCATGCCCATTATTTACTCACTTTCCTCTCAGAATGATGCAAAGTTATGAATACGACTTAACTTAACAAAGTTTGCAGTCTAACATATAAAATGCTCCTGATAAGTGAGGCCAAGGAGGACTATGGGCTGAAAGACTGTGAGGGTTAATAAAATTACTCTGCTAATGTCATGCAAACCGTCTTCTTTTTTCTTAGTGGCCAAGCATCTCCTGTATGCTCCATTTCTTTTGTAATTTCTAAGGAGGGATAAGAAATGGCAGCCTCCTCCCACGCTATTCTATTTAAGAATGTTTAAGCAAAAAGTGGGAAATGCATTTACACATTTCTCTATGTATTTTCACTATAGATTTTGTACTGCTCCAGAGAGCCTGCCACTTTGCCTTATGATCTGTAAGGGAAAATACAACGGTTCCTAATGCAGTCCTCTAATACTGTTGTCACATTATGAACTCATGATGCCTTCACTACTCCATTGCCTTCATATTGAGAGCTTAGAGTTGGAATAAACCATAGGAGCTATGCAGCCTGACACTGCAGCCCAGCAGCTGAAAATTGTGTATTTTAGGTTTCCTTGATGTATGACCGTTTAGACTTTGAAAAATCTCTCATGTCAGATAATCTTCCTAAACAACATAAAAAATAAATGGGGGGGGGGAGAGGAGAGAATAATGAGTATTCAGTCTTACATTGAGTCTCGTGAACTAAGCTGTGCTACTGTCTTGTGCCTTGTGCCCCACCTAAGAAGAGCAGGTGAAAGGTCCATCTAGTCCACCATTCTGTTCTGCCAAGGGCCAAATAGATGCCTATGGGAAACCTACAAGTAGGATCTGAGGTCAGCACTGCACTCCCCACTTGTGATTACTATCAAGTGGTATTCAGAGGCAAACTGCTTCCAACAGTGGAGGCAGAACATATCCACTGTGGTTAGTAGCCACTGAGAGCCTTATCCGTGCATTTGTCTAATCCTCTTCTACAGCCATCCAAGTCCACCTCAACTCTACAATTCTATGATTCTAGATGATCCACATGGCTCCAAATCCATACTGCTGAATATTGTCATCACTTTTACTAAAGTAAAGATAGTTACTTCCAGTGCATAGCACTTATCTTCTAAAGTAGTTTCTTCCTTTTTTTCAATCCAAAGGTGAAAATAAGCTTAGCCTGACAGCTTCTTGTTGCCTCCTTTGATTGCTGTTATAATAGCTTGCTGAGCACTGAAGTCAAGGTGACTGGTTCTTTGTAATTTTCTGGGTTTTCTGTTACACTTTTCAGCAGCAGCCACAACAAAGAACCATGTTTGCTTTCCTGGGACATTACTTGTCCTCAGTGAGTCTCCTGGGATATCACTTCCCCGCAGCCAGTTCTCACAGATAAATGCCAGTGGATCTCAATCTCCGCCCCTTCCTCTGCTTCTTCTTCAGCTGTATCTTTTAGCATTTTCTGATGTATGTATGTATGTTCATTATGCTGACTTCTACCCACATTTATTTTGTGCCTTTCTACTAACTGAGCCTCTTACTTTCTTAACTCTGCTACGTCCTTACAAACGAAAAGCCTCCCTGATGTTTTCTATCATGTCTGGTCAGTTTCAATTCAGTATCCCAGTTTCACTTATCTGTCAGGGCTTCACATGCTCCTGGGTGTGCTTGGATATATTGCAGACAAGCAAGCACACTTATCTTGGCATCCAACTCGTATTGGGATGTTATTTGCAGAGTTGCAATTTGTTTTCCAAATTCAGGCACCCTGATCGTATCTAGATAAGTTCTGTGGTTATGTTGCTTTTGGAAGTGCATCATTGCCTGAGCCTGTGCAGGAGTAGTGTTCTCATATGTAAGAAAATGCTGATTTTTAAGACTTGTGTGTATTACTATTTAAATGCCATGAACAAACCACTGAATTGCTATGCACATTTGTGCTGCTTCTGAACATAGGTCCCAGTGTTTACCAATGCAAGTGCCTTTCAGGCTGTTTACCAGTGTAGCAGCTTCTGAGTGCATCACAGTTTCAGCCCCAAACTATGGCAGTAGGCAGAAGTGACTGGCAGGGAAGGGCACCACAGTGGACCAGCACTGCCTTCTTGCCATATACTGGGGCGAAAGAGCTGTGAGGATAGAGCAATGTGGTCACACCGGCAGCAGTGCTTGATTGCTTCTGCTAACGTGCCAGCATCTGCACAACTTCAACAATACACTGCCCTGGCATGTGGCAGCAGCACTGGTGCTTGGAGGCCAGGTCCAAGGTAGTGCCACTCTCCACTAATTGCTCTTCTTGATAGGGGAACACAATGGCTGTTCACACTGCCCCCAGAGAGAGTGAGTGAGAGAGAGAAGAATGGGGAGAGGGGGTGAATTCAAAAGCAGAGCTGGAGTTGCCACAATGCTGTTCTCTTTCTGCCTGCCTGCCTGAACAAACATTGCAGGGCTCTGTATCTGTATTTGCTGCTCAGGAATAATCCTGCAGGTTTTTTCCTGTGTTGTGTGCAGCTGGAGAAGCCAATGGGCTTTCTCCAAATTTCAGCCCCAAACACAGGCATGACTTTCCCCTAAGACAGAATATGTCACCTAGTTCTAGCTTACGGTGTCCTGGTTTGCGCAAAAGACTAAACTATTGTTAACATAAACATAGTTGATGAATCATAGTTACGGCAGAACTGTAACTTGTTTGTTAGGTCACTGAAGAGTTAAAAGCACGAATGAGAGCAGCCAAGCCTTGAGAACGTGTGTGTGTGTGTGTGTTGCTTTTCACCTAGAAAATTGGATAACCTTTTGTGGAAAAATCGAGTGTTTTAAAATTTATTAGTGTAATAAGGTACAAGATAACGCAGACCCATACATGTTATTGGGAACTTTGACATCTAGTTACAGGTAGGAAGCCATGTTGGTCTGCCGTAGTTGAAACAAAATAAAAAAATTCCTTCCAGTAGCACCTTAGAGACCAACTAAGTTTGTTACTGGTATGAGCTTTCGTGTGCATGCAGACTTCTGAAGGTATCTGAAGAAGTGTGCATGCACACGAAAGCTCATACCAATAATAAACTTAGTTGGTCTCTAAGGTGCTACTGGAAGGATTTTTTTTATTTTGTTTATGACTTCTGTATGCTTTGTCCGATTATGTACAGTGGAACCTCAGGTTACGTACCATCAGGGACGCGGACTTATAAAAAATATTGGGGGGGGCCCGGGAAAGCTCATGAATAATAAATAAGCTCATGAATATGCAAATAAAGTGGCGCCGCCTCCTCGTGAGCGAATAGGGGAGAGCGTGCTGCGCCTATTAATCAGCTCCAAAGGAAATTGGGTGGAGCTTTTGCTCGGGAGGGAGGGCAGGAGGCATGCAGCCCGCCCCTCCCTGTGCATTTTGGGCTGGGGGAGGGGCGGCGATGGCGCTCTGCTGGAGGGGCGCCGGAGATTATTGGGGGGGCGGAGCCCCCCCAAACGAATTTTTGAGGGGGCTCGGGCCCCCTCAAGCCCCATGGAGTCGGCGCCTATGCGTACCATCCTCCTTATGAATGCTTCGGGTAACGAGCTCCGCTAACCCGGAAATAGATGCTCCTGGTTGCGAACTTTGCCCCGGGATGCAAGCGGAATTCGCATGGTGGAGGCGTGGTGGCAGTGGGAGGCCCCATTAGCGAAAGTGCACCTCATGTTAAGAACAGTTTCGGGTTTAGAACGGCCCTCCGGAGCGAATTAAGTTCGTAACTGGAGGTACCACTGTAATAGAAATTTACTGTTCATTTGTAAACCTGTTTATTTGTTTTGATTGATTACAGATAAACTTAAAACAATGTTAATCAAAGTTCATAAACCAACTGGAAACTTGGTTAACAAGCATCTTTTAACCATAGTTAATATAGCATTGGGATGTGGGTGGCGCTGTGGGTTAAACCACAGAGCCTAGGACTGGCCGATCAGAAGGTTGGCGGTTCGAATCCCCGTGACGGGGTGAGCTCCCATTGTTCGGTCCCTGCTCCTGCCTACCTAGCAGTTCGAAAGCACATCAAAGTGCAAGTAGATAAATAGGTACCGCTCCAGCGGGAAGGTAAACGGCATTTCTGTGCGCTGCTCTGGTTCGCCAGAAGTGGCTTAGTCATGCTGGCCACATGACCCGGAAGCTGTACGCCGGCTCCTTCGGCCAATAAAGCGAGACGGGCACCGCAACCCCAGAGTCTGTCACAACTGGACCTAATGGTCAGGGGTCCCTTTACCTTTACTTTAATATAGCATTAAAGCCATGCTTTAATAAGTAATAGTTTAATAAACCACAGTTTAGCATTATGGATGAACCAGGATACTGTGCTGCTCTGGTTTATCACAACAATCTTCACCTGTTGCACACAGGGTAATTCAAAATCCTTTTTCCTCCCCATTGCAGGTAAATGGAGTTGATTTAACAGGAAAAACCCAAGAAGAAGTTGTTTCCCTGCTGAGAAGCACCAGGATGGGAGGGAGTGTAAGCCTTATCATTTTCCGCCAGGAAGAAGCATTCCATCCAAGAGAACTGGTGCGTATTTTATTTTTATTTTTTTTAAGTGGCTATGGCACATTAGGTGAATATGAGCAAATAATGTGAAGACTTGCTGTCAGACATGTGCGGCTTGAAGTGGAGCACAGGAAAATAAGCTTCTACTACATTTCACATGGACATTTCCTTTTAGCAGTGGTCTCCAAATTGGATTTCCACATTAATATGGGAACTAATGTTTTCAAATCATGGGTGACAGCAAATGCAGATTATAAACTGTTGCATGTACTTTGCTTGAGTGCCTATAGACAACTGATTATTCTCTGTCTTTTGCACTTTTGTGTGCCTGTTGGAAAGCTTGCTGTTTGTCACACTACATGAACATTTTTCCCCCTGTCTCAGAGCTTTTACAATTAATCTAGAACAGGATGTATGAATGCTATGATTTGGAAATGAAGAATCTGTAAGGGCAAAAATGCGGTTGTTTCTAATACTATAGCTACATGGGAGAGACACCCCACAGTTATTAATTTAGCAAGGCAATTCAGAGAATCCCTGTTGTATCTTAAAGAAAATTATCATAGTATATAGACTGTGCACAAATGTTTCCACAATAATTGCCTTTGTGGGTGTAGCAAATGTTGATTGTATAAAGCTGCCTTATTTTGGACCAAATCATTGTTCAGTATTTCAACATCTCCAGTTAGGACTGGGAAAAAACCCTGCCTGAAATCAAGGAGAGTCACTTCCAGACAGGATAGACAATTGGTCTGACTTCGTATAAGGCAGCATCCTGCATTCCTATCCCAGTTGTCTTTACTCAAGACTTCAAGCAACGATGCGACTAAAATTCATTTTTCTTTCTAAGAATTCAAACTCCTCCATCCAATAATAATCTTCTCCTCTACCCCCTTTAAGTTCTTCTAAATATAAGAACAAAGGTCTCTATCTTTCTTTGGTGTATTGAATGCTGCAAAAGGAATATCCTAGGTGGTAGGAAATGCAACTTTTCATGGCACTAGTATTCACGCTAAGGACATAGGTACCCGAGAAATCTATGGATGGAGACCAGTTGGTGCCCTTGCATTCACAACTGGACTTTTGACCCAGCAGGAATGTCTGATAATTGAAGAGAAGGGTGGATTGTTTCTGATTTACCTTCCCCCTGCAGACCCCAGCACCCTCAAAAGCCCTCTTGTGAGTCCAAGATCGCCAATTAGATTCTATGCTATATTTCCCAGGACCCTGCTCACTTGACACACTTCAGTGAAACTTCCCTGCCACCAACTACCATCACTACCAAATAATTCAAAAGGGTTAATGAGTCATGATGTTGGGACTTATGGAGAGATAGGAGTGGTTGTGGGTACATGGAAAAATATCTGTGTTTCTAGAGCATGATGAAGTCTGCATTTCAGCATAGGGGATGGTAGAGCAGGGTTTATTCTACTTTGGAGGGTGGGGAGATGGTAGCAATGGACAAATCCTTAGTGTGAATGAACTATATAGGAGAGGCATGGCCTTTTATACTTGCATGTGGGATAGATAACTGAAGCCACAGGAGTGTGTTTACTCTCAAAGATATGCTACAGTGTGAAAACATCCTGCTTCTTCTGGAACAGGTGAAAACTTGTAAATGGGTTGTTCATATAGAATTGGAAGGGAACTTGGGGGCCAACTGGTTCAACTGCCTACTCAGTCTGCAACACTGAATGCAACATCAACACCCCTGACATGGCCATGCAGCGTCTGTGTAAATAACTTCAAGTGAACAAGAGCCCACTCTCTCCTGAGCAGGTCCTGGGTGAATTCCAGTAAACTGAGCCCTCAAGTAAACTGGCCCCAAGCTATTAAGGGATTTATATACTAATTGTCCTGGTCCTCACTGCAGGAAGGACTCTTAACTACCAGTTTGGTTTCTGCCGAAAGTTTTAATCCACCCGTCAGGTGGATTAAAGATGCAAGCAGGTACATAAACCGCTTTGAAGTGTATATAAAATTTTATGAAATAAATAAATAAGAGGTATAAGCACAAGCTAAGAGGTTGATCCAACAAGCAACATGCCCCCTGCACCTTCCTTTTAAAGGACAAGGCAGACACAGCACTGGGGGACTGGGCAAGCAAACAGGCACTCATGAAGTGAGTGGTCCCACAAACTTTCTTCATGCTGACATCCCCATGTCCTTTGGAGGTAGAGGTGGCATCAGTGCCAGCTCAGCATCTGATTTATTTTCACCTTGCCTTCTCCTTTGGATACAGCTCCTCACTGACATAAGGAGACACCAGGGGGCAATTCCACAGCAGGAGGTATCTGCCTTGGACTGTCAGATGTCATAGGGCAGAACACCCCTCTGCCAATTGCATTCTTCGTCAGGATTCGACCATCCCCTCCATGACACTTCTATGGAATTTGTGACACTAATAGTAGCACGTTTCACTTGCCCCAGTAACAAAGTGACAACCAGTGCAGATCTCTGATCACAGGTGATCAGACATGGTCTCTCACTCAACTTGCAAAATAGCATAATGTGGATCTCTATATTGTCAAATTATGCTGGAAAGATCTCATGCACTCTTAGGATACAGTCACCTCGTAAAGTCTAGACCTAAATGGCAGGCTTGATATGAAAACAATTGTAGAGTGGTTTACACTAATAAATGGAAACACTCTTCCAAGACGTCAGTTCTTATTTGCTGCGGTTGACTCAAAGTTTCCCTCTCCCCATCATCATTTTGCCAACTTGTAGCTGTATTCATTTAGACCCAAGTGGCCAATATGGTTAAGGAGTTCATGTGAAAACAGCACTATTTTGTTTCTGATCAAGAATTTGGGAGATTGCAGGCAAGTTTCATTATATGTTTCTTGTGCCACCAACAAAATCTCTCCCCCCCTTCTTTTTTGCTTTGTTCTCTTGATTTTAGGGATTAGGGAGTTCTTGGCTCTGTTCTCTGTCTTTTGTCAACCACAGTTGGCTTTAACAAGTTATTCCCTCTAGATGAGCTTTGGTTGCCTTTGTCTGTGTGCAGGAGATTAATTAAAATTGCCCCTCAAAGGAGAGTTGTGTTTGCCTAATGGCTCTGAAGCACATTAACATGGCTTGATGGGCAGGAACTGTAAAATGCATCTTTCTGTGTGCACATAAGGGATAAAACGTTTAAGGAAATACATTATTTTCATGCTGTAAATTCTCCTGAGTTGTATTCTCTTTTTAATACTATTTTATTACCGGTAATTTTTACAATAACAAAACCCCATCACATAACAACTCCCATACATGGGATTTCCAAAATCCCTTGACTTCTCTCCACTCCCCTTCTTGGTTCTTTTGTTTTACATTTGTTCATGCACGTCCATAATATCTTCAATTCCGATCGTCTTCATCTTCTTTGGCGGGAACTTCTTCATTTTCATATTCTGGAATGATTGTGGCTGAGCAATTGCTACCAGATACTGCTCTTTAAAAACATTCAGTCCTTTAAGCCCAATGTCAAGGCTTTTGTTTTTTTTGTACAAAGATTATTTTAAGCATTTTCTTCAAATCATTATGTATTATTATCCAAGCTTTTTAAATAACCTTACATTGCCACCAATAAGATGTTCCAATGCCAAGCATTGTTATTGTGAACCATTGAGTTTTTATGGAATGGAGTTTTCTGGAAGGGTAGTCCTATTGAAATTAGTGAACCTAAGTTGTCCATGCCCATTAACTTCAGTGGTTCTATTTTGAGTAAGACTAGCTTTGGATACAACCATGTGTGCCAAAAAGAGGCCATGAAAGTCCAGGTGGGCTAGGCAGGAAGGGGGGAAGCAAAAGACGAACTGAGCAGGCTTGAAAGCAGGTAAACTGTTAAATCAGCACACAGGTCAGTAGTATAATGGATTAGTTGCCAGGCCACTGTACCTGGTCAGGGACCTTTTGCCTAAAATAATGGAGGCTGAGTGAGATGAGTAAGTGAGGTGGAATACAGTACAAGCAAGTAGTTTCCTCTTTGAATGGAGCGCTGTAATGGAATCGAGAACTAGGTCTGGCTTGCAAAGTCCCTGGTCTTGGCATATTATGCTGTGTAAGGGTGGGACCCTCTATTAAGGACACATTATATCAACCGAAAGAGAATAACATAGGTTAGCACAGAGTGTTTTAAACGTTGTCACAGGTGCCTCCTGCCAGTCAGAAGCACAAGGAGGCACTTGTCCCAGCCTCTCAGAATTGGCATATAAAGTGTCACCTGTGGGCATTTGGGACTTTTCACAGTGTGTTTTGTGTAGCTCTGATCTCCTATCCTATGCTCCATTTGAGAACCAAACCCCTTGATAGTCCTCTTCTTAATCGTTGGCAAATGTCTTTTCTACCCTTATTCTTATTTTAATTTTTGTTCCCGCTTCTTCTAGAGTACTGAACACAGCCAGTCACAAATTCCAAAGGAAACGGTAAGAGTTTTGTCTTTCATGTGTCATGGAAGGTTGCAATTATTTATTTATTTATTTATAATTAGTAAACTTGGGCCTGTCCGTCAAAATAAAAAAAAGGGTGTTTTTTTTAAACAGACAATTCTGTTCACTGTATAGGCTGTAGGTGGCTCTCTCCAGCCTTAAATTGCATTTCACTTTATGTCTAGCACTTACTTCCCATGTGCTTCACGATCATTTGCGCCTCTATATGGGGCACATATGCATGCAGACAGTTCTTGTTTGGATACAAAACAAGGTATCTGGTTCCTAGAAACTGAGATAGTTTAAGGCTGAAATAAAAACAGAGAGGTCTGAATTGCAATCTAACATTCCCCCTCACAAGCTGTCATTCTTATGTTTTGTAACCAGTTTTTAAAGTAACTCCAGTGTAGTTGAAGAAAGAATATCAGATTTATTTACAAGCTAGCTGTAGCAAAGCTCCTCAAGACATCCTTAAAATGCTTCTGATGAAGAATATCCAGATGTATATTACAGGAACAATTAAAGCACAGAGTGTTTCTGGGTTGTGTTTTCTTTTGCTTTTAGAAATGAATCATCATATGAATCAGTACATTGCAATGCAGTCCTGTTTACTTTTCATAACAACTTTCATAATGTCTTCACCTCAGTAAGAATAATGGATATGAAAAAAAGGGGATGAGAGAATTGCTTTAACTGAAAATTGCAATGGAGCATATGGCGCTGTGGGTAAAAGCCTCAGCGCCTAGGACTTGCCGATCGAAAGGTTGGCGGTTCGAATCCCCGCGGCGGGGTGCGCTCCCGTCACTCGGTCCCAGCGCCTGCCAACCTAGCAGCTCGAAAGCACCTTCGGGTGCAAGTAGATAAATAGGGACCGCTTACTAGCGGGAAGGTAAACGGCATTCCGTGTGCTGCACTGGCTCGCCAGATGCAGCTTGTCACGCTGGCCACGTGACCCGGAAGTGTCTGCGGACAGCGCTGGCTCCCGGCCTATAGAGTGAGATGAGCGCACAACCCTAGAGTCTGGCAAGACTGGCCCGTATGGGCAGGGGTACCTTTACCTTTACCTTTATATGGTTAGTTGAGGTTTCTAGGACTTATCTGCTTCACTGTTTTCCTTTTCATATTGGTGATTTGGGGCTTCATTAATGTTGTCTATAGGCGTTTCAAAGCAGTGCCCCAAAGCATCTTTGCGTAATGTCTCTTGTGTACAAGCTTTGACAGTGGTTTTAAGGAAAACAATAAATATGATTGTTTGCTGGTTTCTTGGAAGAGGCTCCAAGGAAAGTAAAAGAAGCAGGTGGTGTAGAAGTAGGAGTGGTCATTTAGAAGAGATTGGAACTGTCCAATAGATTTCACTGACTGAGATGGAGAAGCAAACAGCAAGCCTACCTTCCTCCCCTCAAATCAAGATGCTTAGTGCTCAAGGCTGGCCAAGTTACTTTGGCACCTGAGACATCTTACCTTGCAAGCATCTCCCCCTGCCCACAAAAAAATAATAATGCAGTAATAATACGTTAAAACTACTTACAATAAATCAGATCACTAACAGTTTGCCCATTCATGACACCCCAATAGTGGGGTTGGCCAAAGGAGCAAAGTTATCTTTGATGGCTAAGCTATAAAGCACAAAAAAGCAAATTAAGCATTTTGCACCAATGCTCCCATTTTGCTCCTCCCTCCAGCAGGGAAACAAACCACAATGTGGCTGACTTAGTGTTACATGTGCACCAGCTTTCTTGGTTGGTTTCCCCCAAACAAATCATGAACAGGAAGCCAAGAAGAAACCTTGGCTAAAGAATGTGGTTTGTTTGGAACAGAAGAAATCACGAGCTCTGACTCACACCAAATGCTAAGCCAGCTGCTTCGTGGTTTGCTGGAGAAAGGGAAGATAAAATTGGGAGAGCTCAAGCTTCATGAAGCAGTATGGCGCTCATGCACAACTGACTTAGCTTGCCCATGGTTTATAGAATCATAAAATTATAGAGTTGGAAGGGACCACAAGGTTCATCTAGTCCAACCCCTGCAATATAAGAATCTTTTGCTCAACGTGGAGCAAAAGCAGAGCTGTATTAACTCTATAAGTGTGCTCAAGATTGTCAATTCAAATCCCATGTTACATGATGCAAATATACCAGGGGTCCTCTTTGTGGTGGTCTTGGTTACTCTGCGTTTACAATCGGGGCTTCTTTAAAGTTTTTTAGAGATCAAGTGTCATAATGCTAGCAGCCTGGCCAGTAGTGAAAAAAATATTCTCTAAAATTGCCGTAAATTGAATGTGGAGCTTTGGATAGGTGCTAGGAATGCTAGCCTAGGAATGCTGACTGGAGAGAGCATGTGGTAGCATCCCCACTCCCCCAAGTTCCTTAATCTTAAATGCATATCAAAGCTTTTCCAGCAAAAACTCAATGGCATGAGCTTGTTTTGTAATATTTCACATGCTGACTTCCTTATCTCTCTCTCCCTCCCCCCAGCCTGCTGCCTTTTTGCTTGGTTATGCATCATTCCCCATTTGGTTCTCCTGCCTGTGTTGTCAGACCCTTCAGTTTCTTGTTCTTGCAGCTTTCTGTGTTATTGTACCACACATATGGTCTCTCTTGTGCTGTTAGTCGTGAGTTCAGTGAGTGCTGCTGTCACAAAGTTGACAGCAGAAGAAGGGAAAACTAAAAAAAGTAAGGATAATGTGGGGAGAATGGGTGAAATACAAAAATGAAATGAGAGTTCCAACTTTGAAGCACAGAACATCAAAAGTATTTGCAGCCTGAAGTAAAAAGAAAAGAAAAGAAAAGAAAGTCTGTTAATTTGGACTACAAAATGACTAGTTAGAAAGACAAAGTCAATTTTTCCAGCAATCTTAGTCCCTTCCCACCCCCAAACTAACTTATTGTGTCAGATTTAGATACTTTTCCTCACAGAAGTTCTTGCATTAGATGAGTCTGCATTTTCCAAGAACTTAAAAGAGCAATTACTTGACACACAAATTGGGATACTGAAGGCATTATGGGATGTATTTTGGACAATACCTTCTTGATTGAGAATACCAAGCTCTATCACTGAAATGCAGGAGCTTTCATGAAGTACTTTGAGTAATTTAAAAAGTAGCAAAGGCTCACTCTACACACAGACACACAGACACAGACACAGACACAGACACAACACAGACACACACACACACACACACACACACACACACACAGTCTCATTTAGTGAACCCTATTCTTTTTCTCTCCTGTAGCAAGACTGCATATAATTGACTCTGACACTAATTATTTAACTTTGCTTAACTCTGAGTTTCTGGGATAGAAGAAAGGAAGTTTTCAAAACCATGGAACAGAACCCTTCTGGAATTGGTCCTCAGATGACCCCAGAGAGTTTGTCCTGTGCTTTTGCATGTATATGGCTGGCCTATTACATCTGGCCAACTCAAAAGTGAGAAATGCCACTGATCTCTTTGGACTTTGGCTGGCTGACTGCTAACCTGCCTATCCCATCCTTAGGTACTCTAGGCACCTGCTACCTCCCAAGCTGTAGGAAGCTGGACCTTGCCATTACCCAGACCTATGTGCCTGAAAACTGTAAATGAAAAAAAATAAAGATAGGAAGCTTTTGGCATCAAGGAGAACAGTGTATCGATATGATCTTAATGTCACCTGCCATGTGAAAATATTTTATTCGTCCATCCCTAATTAAGAAAGTACAGTACAATTAGTTACTCTCTTGATGAATGCATTCTGTGGTGTCCCAGCTGGGATTCCATTGGCTACCAAACTATACTAGAAAAGTGTAGCCAGCAACTTCCTGCTCTCATGTTAAGTTGGCTTCATGGATTCCCATATGGCAGTTCAAAATCTCTATTATATACTCCTATCCAAAACTGAGCAGATGCACCTTCTGCTAAGCATGGTGATTATTTTGATATGAAAGAGATTGACTGCAATATGAAAACCAGTAATTTGTCATTACATTTCTGTTTCTGAGGATAATTATCTTAATCTTGTTACAGTGCATAGAAATAAATTGTTAATTATGATATGAGAAACATCTGCCAATTAACCTTTGCCCCTTCTTCTCAAAAGTCAATAGCGCTAGGCTAGCATTGTGCATTTTGAGTTATTTTTTCCTCCCTGTTTTTCCTCCCTTATCCCAAATCTGACAGCGCTCTTTGTGTTAGCGTCACCTGTGGGGACTTAAGAGTGCATTTGCCCACCTTGCTTGATTTCCTTGATAGAGTCTAAATGGCTCCTTGGAAACATGTTTGAATAAAATAAATGCAAGGAGAATAACACTTCAATCTGCATGAAGGTTTTTTTAAAAACAAAAGTCCCTTTCATGCATGAATCAGGTGAAAAGAGATCTCATGTAGAAAGGGGTTGTAGGAGCCATGCTGCGTACCTTGTCCTCAAGGTCAAGTGACAACTTAGTCTTATCCCTGACATCCATCCATTGGGCATGGATGTCTGTAAAGGAAATCCTGTACGTCTCAAGGCAATATATAGACATACCATAAAACAGTTAAAAAATTCAAAACAATCCAAGCCCAACTGAAAATAGGTTATTAAAAATGCAAAATGAACACCTAAGGCCAAGACCTTTTCATTTAGCTGGAAAAACTTGGATAGATCTCTGTGTGTATGTGCCATGTGCACAGCTTGGGGGGTTGTGTTGTTGTTGTTATATCAACCTGTTCATAAATTCTTACAAATTATCTGGAACCCTTCACAATTTGGGTTCCAGCTCACATGGAAAGCCTGTGAGCATAGAAGTCTACATCCATAGTCTTTTTCTTGGAAACATCCACACTCACTGTGTGACACTTGGGACAAGGGTCAGAGGTCCTCCCCTGGTTCTGCTGCTGTTGTGCTGCTAGGGACTAAAGCACAGTTCGGCACATACTTTGTCTTCCTCAGGCAAACCACAGGTGGTAAACCAAGAACAAACCATGGTTATAATTCATGATCTGTCTGGAATGAGGCAAACCGCAAGCATGAGATTGGATGTCA